TCCAAATCCCTCTCGTCTTCCACCCAGCTGCCTGTCAATTCCTCTTGCTCTCATTCCCTCCTTCCTTCTGTCTTTCTCACACACTGTGAACTGGCCTGCTCTTGTTTCCCTCTGATTGAGCAACATTTGAAGCAGCTGCATGCAGAGCAAAGGCACGCACTGTTTGCACACGCACGCGCACAGCAATGTTTTTCATTTGTTATAATCCTTTTAAATCATTCACACGTGGGTTTAGCTTGGTCAGTTGAAAATATGTCAACGTGGATAATGACGCATGTGTTAGTTAAAGGTTTTCAATCCGTATATGACTGAGAAATTATGCATTTATTTCCAGTGGTGTGTTTCCTTTACCTATCTTTGAAAAGCTACCAACCTTGTTAAGAATGCTAGTGGTCTGTGCATAAGCAGCCTCTGACAGATGGAACTGGCTCCACTGGTTCCACTGCGATGTCTGCAGCAACTGGTTCTTCACCATGTAAAGTCCCCACACGCTTGTTTGCACTGCACATCAAACAATATCATCAGCGTTTCCAGTAAATTCTGGCGTCAAAATCAGCTGCTTCCGGAAAGTGTCCATGTTAGGTAATTTCAGCCAGTTGTTGTGTTAAATCCAAATTACTGACTTAAAACTAAAAACTAAGACTAAAAACTAATGCTAATATTGTGCAAATGTCATATTCCGTAATCCTAATTTAATAAGACTGACATTTACTGCAATTTTTTGCCAATTTTCCACATGTTGCATAACAGACATTTGTCTTGTTAGTTTATCCTTATTTGAAGTTCTGATTCTGAGTTATTAGACTTTGTCTCATTCTTTTTTTTGAGAATGAATCTAGGGGAAATATAACAATACACACACTCAAGCATGCCCAACTATACTTTAATGGCTTTGTGAGCCTACAGTGAGCCAGTGATCCTTGGCTGTGAAAGGGTTAACAGCGGTCGTGATCTATCCATCACAGTAGGCCACCACTCAATTATTCAGCAAGCTGCGATCTTGTTTCATCAGCGGCCAATGCTAACGCTGCCATGCGCTTTCAGGAAAGGAAAAATATATGTATGTGTGCATATCATATCATCTCGAAGTATCGTCATTACCCTTATACCTGTGTCCCTGGATTTCAAAGATACACATACTTGACCCACGTCCTTTATCTGAGAATTAAAAGAAAGAAAAAACACGGTTCAATACGAATTTCAGAAACATCTTGAATTCTATTAACTCACCTTAAATTCAGGATATTTAATCAATTTGACAGGTGAAACAGTGTCTTATCACAAACTAAAAGATCCAGCACATAGAGAAGCAGTCGGGTGATGTTATGCAAAACTTAAGCCATATGTTTGTTCATAATTAGTTTATACTCAGTTTGAATTAATTTTTTATATCAAATCCAACCTTGGATATTTTTTATTTCTTACCCTAACCAGTGGCAACTGACACCAGAGTCAATAAGAGGAACACTTTTCAACAGTCCATAATATATCCATGCAGACATATCTCTTTAAAAACATTTTGAATATGTGCAATATAATTTAATCAAAGGGAACAAGGAGGCATACAACTATTTTGCTTTCCTGAAAAAAAAGCATTTCAAGCCATTCATTTTGATTTTGTATTAACAATGGAACATTTTGCAGTCTGGACCAACAAAGCTATGATACATTCTGGTATGAGATTGTATTGGAAATAAGATAAAAGGCAGGATCCAGTGATTTCCAAAACAGTACAAGTTTCCATATGCTGCTAGTTGCCACTGCAAATATCAAATTTCCTGTAAAAACATAAGCTCAGATGACCAGCCTCCCCTCTAAAAAAGCTCAGTCTGATCTGACCTGCTCTGGCTGGATGTGGCTCCATATATGTCAGCTCTACTAACATGACCAATCTCATTGACACAAAAATTCACACATGCCCACAAGTGAGGGATGATCCATCAACAATCATATTTTCCAGGAAAACACACAAAAAAGCTGCTTGAATAATGTCAATTGGCTTTTATCTTATCAAAAACTAGATGGTAGGGATATAGCATTGGATTAGGTGAAATTTGGTCGATTTCATTAAAACAGTTTTGAAAATTAAAAACTAGACTTTGAATGCGTGATCTGAAAGTGGATATTGGGGTTTTAGTTCATGAGAGCATAATGTTGACAGTACTACAGCAGTCATGCAAAAAACGGCAGATAAATTACACAAAGAAAACTCTGCATTCTATTATTTAGCATAATTACAATAAACCGACCTCGGACAGGGAAATACAAGCTCTGTGTATTTGGTGTTCTCCCCCACATGTTCTCACTGAGAGTGACCAAAACAAAAGCTGATTGTTGCACAGAGCTAATGGAATTCATGGGATAGCACTAGTTCCTGTGGTAGCACATCCTCTCAGTGTACTGAGGTCAGTACATGTATGTGTGTATTGTGAGAAATAAAAGATTTATCTTTTTTAGTGGGTGTGAAATATTCCATACGGGTTCCTCTCAGAAAAACAGTCTGATTCATAGCTGAATTTTCCATATGAACTTGTTTTGAGCCTGTGAGCATATGTGTGTCTTTTCCCAGCGGTTACTGCATCCCCTCCCACGTGGGGCTCTATTTTGAAAAAAAAAGTCCACTGCTGATAACCCCAAGCTTTCCCTTTGCTGACAAAAGGGGAAAATGTTATATCTCGTTTTTTTCTCCCTCATCAAAATACTTCTCCCCAAAACCATGAAGTTTTCAACACCCACAGTTTAAACAAACATGGTGGTTGCATTTCACTTCAGTTCCTTTTGTTTTTCTGAACTAATGTGGTCATTTCAGGCCCTCAAAGCCTCTCAAATCAGCATCTCGGCCAATAATATTTTCATCTATTAACTGTGCAGATTTATGTACTTTGATGTAAAGCAGAGAACACACAGTGTCATGCTAATGCAATTTGTCTCTGGCGTTCAGGCCTGCAGCAGATCTACACACCGCATTTTGATCAGATCAGAAAGAATAACATATAGAACTATACTGAGTGCAAACTATGTCTAGCACATAGTTTAAGAGATGGCACAGGCCCCAGGGGGCAATTAGTGCGGTGCGGCCGGTCTGTGAGAGGCAGTCAGAGGTTAGACTGGCAGACACTTGTGTCTCCCCCACATAATGACTCCCAGCTGTGTTGCTCTCAGTGTTTATGTTCAAGAAGTTCCACTACTGACTCGTTTCCTCACCAACATCTTTCACTGGAAACTTCTGTCATCTCGATTTGTCTTGTGTTGTGTCTCTATCTATGTCTTTATCTGTGCAGTAAATCTGGCCACCAGCGGACCTTCTTTTATATTCAACTCTCTGCTGTATCTAATGTTCTAATCATCCCACACACTCCCGCCTTCCCAGCTTTTTCCCTTCCTCCTCTCCCTCTTTGCATTTTGCACTCCTTCGTCCTGATCCCAAATGTTAATACATCATCCTGCCAAGCTTAAACTTCCTCTTCAACCAGGAATGAGAGAATGAGCAGGGAATAGTTTTAGAATTAGATTGTTGTTAACCAGCGCTTTTTGTCCATGTCAAAGCAAGCTGTCCAAATCCCTGTTATCCTTAAGAATGTCCGGCCCGAAACAAAATTATGTTTATGCATCACTGTCTGTCAATTTTTAAAGTTAAATGACGGGACTCATCTAGTTAAATGAGCGACCATCTCTTGTTTACACTTCATGGTACCTTTGTGTCTTTGTCTTTGTCTCACCCTGCCCACATGCTGCATATGTATTTTTAGCGGGCATAAGCTGGATTCTGGCATAAGCATCACATATCCAGTAGAAATTGTACTCACATAAGGTGGCTGATTACATTTTCAGTGCACACATCATGCATGCTTCCCTATTCATGTGAGCCCGTCAGTGTCAGCACTGATATCAGCTTAGGTGACTGAGCTGCCCACCAACCCTCTCACAGAGCATGCCTTCCCCAACGTGTAGGTGGTAAAATCAGTGTGATCATGCAGAGAAGCTTAAGGGAAAATTATACAGGTTGTATAAATGTCTTCAATCAGGCTGGGGAAGATGTCAAAGATATTCTGCTAATGGACATGTACTTCCTCCATGACTCAATGGCAGCTCAAAATGATAAGATAATAAAAACAAAGATGAGCAGCAAGCAGAGTGGTTTACATGTAATGACACAAAATATCTTTTCGTAGGATGAAATATATTTGGTAACATTTGTATTCCTTTATATGTAAAGTATGTAGTCACAATTCTGGTGAAGTGGCTAAACTATGTAAAAAAGATGTGTATCTGGAAAGATCCACACATTCCTCAACACCACTCAAAGGTTTTCAAACACTTGATAACTTAATTTCTTATGATGAATTGTCATAATATGCTTACAACTAAAATATTCAATTCGGATATAATTGGATTATAAGTAATAGGACTTGAATTACTATTAATAACATTTTCTAATGGATGGAAATGGGCCTCTTTGAAATGAGTTTACTTATAATTTTAGTTCCTCGTTACGTATGTTTGTAACTGTAGTTAAATAAGTTAAATGCATTCAATTTAATTCAAATATAAACGCTTTTTATTGAACTCCAATAGCAACGACAAACCCCTGATTATTACTCTTATTTCTCTGGTATTGTGGACTTAAAGCTTGGTCACATCATATGTATACCAACTGTATAATACAACTGTATTAATCGGTATACCTGAATGAATAAATACACACACAGATGTCAGACCACGTTTTGATTTGCAAGTTTACACGAGAACCCTTATACTAGGCCAGCTGGTTCAGCAGCTCCCTCAGCATGATGGAGCAGACTGCATCATATCCACCATCAAACAGATTGGGAGACAGGCACAAGAAGAACATATTCATGGCAAAAAAAGCCACAAATAGTGTTTGTCTTATCAAGGTCCACACGGATGTCATTATTATTTCTCCTCCCTCTCTGTGCAAGCAAACATTTCAGGTTTTCTGCAAAACACAAAAAGACAGTAACATGTTCTATCTGTTCTAGGAAGCTCATGCCCAGGCAGAAGCTCACAGTGAGGCCCAGTCACAGACTCAGCCTCATGTGGACCCATCAGAACCTGTCCCGCGTCTATGCCACCTGACGCGCTCCGAGACGGGCTACGGGTTCAACCTCCACAGTGACCGGTCGCAGCCCGGACAGTACATCCGCTCCCTGGACCCCGGATCGCCAGCAGACCAAGCCGGACTCCGACCACAGGACAGGCTCATTGAGGTAGGAAAGAGAAATGTTAACCATTGGATAAATTGATTTCATGATTTATTTTAGTAAATGATCATCCGGTGTGCAAAAAGCTATTCAGTTACACCAATTATAAAAGTATCGTGATTTTTTTTTCTTGTGTGGTTTTATAATTGGGGTGTAAATTTCAAAATTTCTGAACTAACACAACATCAATGTGCATTAGAAAAAATTATGAATTGCTCATTTTGGTTCAATGGTAAGTATTGCGTCAGTCAGCAATTAATTTAAGCTGACACAGCAGACCAGAAGGGGGGATGATGAGGGGATCATTGTAAATTGTCCTGGGTTAGTCTGGTGCAGGTCAAAGGAAAGTGTGACTAACAAAGTGTGACACAAAGTGTGTGCAGGAGTCTCCTGTAGTGATTCAGTTCATTTTTCTGTATTCACTTCTTCATGTTCTTTAATGTCAGTTCACTCTGTTACCTAAGAAGAAATTACTTCACGTCTTTCCAAAACCTGGCACCTTTTAAACAGTTTACTTCTCGGTTCTGAATTGTTTATATGTAGTCATTCCCGATTTGATTGTTTCTATATTCAAAATTAGAAATTGTTGGAGGCAGATTGTTGTTGTTTAGGTCCTTTATTTTTATTTCCATATTCACATAAATGTGAACAATATGTTAATTATTATCAGTAATTATAATAATAGTTTTTTAGCTTGCCTATGAGCCTTTCTCTGATTTTCCTTCTTACAGGCAACTAATTCAAAAGACAGATATATAACTACACTGAATCTAAGCATTTCCCATGTTTGCATAAAATGTATAGAAATAATATTTAAGGGTGCACTTATATAATAACTATATAATAATAAATGAAGTTGATCAAATAGTAAATATATGTGAAATATTTTCACCAAAATTCACAGACAGGCTTGGCATTAGAGGCTATTATTGCACTGCCGCCTTAATGGAACATTTGATAGCTGGTGGGAACATCCTGCAGCAGGTCACTGATGGCAGCCATTGTTCACCACCGCTCTGACATGTTTCCATTTTAGCATACATTCAGGGAAACACAATCACATCAAATATGTACGAGCATGTACAAGTGTCGAATGCTAGCTCAATGAATTCTGGGCCTAAATGGTTCAAAGGTTAACATGATTCTCCTAATGTAATGGTGAGTTGTGATCACAGTTTAATCTACTCACGTCACAAGATAATCATGCTCAATACGTCTGCATGCAGCATTTTGCATACCAGTATTTGTTTTTATTTAGATGATGAAAAAGCTCTAAGCAAACAGAATAATGTCAAAGTAAAATACAGTGTCCAGTAACATGGTATAAATGTATAGTTTAAGACCGATAGTTAGCTGCCACCACAATTATAAGTTTAGAAAAATGTACTGTTGCAATTTGTTTACTCAAGAAAATAGTTTGTGCTTCAGGTTGGGATTTGCTATTTTTAGATATTTTATTGCAGATTTTTTTTTACTTTTTAACTTTTAATTAAAAGAGATGTATCTCAGTGAAATTGTTTTCTTTCGGCCAGAAAAAAAATCTAAGCCAGAGTGTGGGCTGCCATATTTGTTTGTGTAAAGCGCACTGATAATTACAGCAAACTCTGAGGACAAATCAAGACAGCGCTTGAGTTACCTGTCAGCAGCTTGTTAAAGGGCTGAACAACCATGACAGAGCTGCCTCTGTCAGTCTGGAGCCATTTTTTTCTCCCCACACGCCCCATTACACTGGAGGTGTACCAGCAGCAGGCATTATCGAGGCCACGATGAGAGCTCGGCTTTCTGACGATGTTTGGCAGAAGCCCTGACACCAGTAAACGCCTCATCAGGTTTTGCTGTGCCTCCATTCAAGGGATCATAATCTGAACCTCTCACAAACTTTGCTGTGACATCAAACAACACAAGTGTTCCCTGGTTTTAATTTGTATGGACACGTCCAGTCTTATCGTGTCATGCCAGGTCAAATGACAACATCACTACATTATTTTCACTTCACTCTCACTCTCTAAGGATGCCCGTGGTCACTGATCACTGATTAGGTCTCAGTAGTAGTAAAATGCAGTTATATAAATGATGCTATCATATATTCTAGTAATAATATGAACCACATATCTTATAATTCCAGTTTTTATTTATGTTGTATTTCAGGGGGAAATATTGTGCATAAATATTGTTATTTTTCTACCTTTGTTATTTTAATATGACTTGCTTGATATCAGTCTTATTGCTGTGAGTTTACTAACATAACAGATTACTTGAGGAGGATGAAAACGTTTTGTCGTGGTTTGTTGGGTGGCTCACTTTTAGTTATAGCTACACCAAAGTGTGGAAGACTTTGGCCTTTCTCAAAAAAGAGGTCACATTTTTGGATTTTACACATATGTCTTTGAATTAACTTTCTTCATGCACTTCAATCATCAGAATTTTCCACCACATTATGTCATGCACACAAACTCACACATGGATTCTCTCATAGGATAATCCCATGAGAACAGCCTCCTGCGCAGTTCCTTGCAGCATGTATTAATTAACCCAGTGGGCAGAGAATGGTGTCTTGTCCTGTGTGGGTTGGACTGTTAATGAAGCCTGTGAAACATGACACATGACACCTGTTGTTTGGCCAAATACAAAGATGCTTGTATTAAACTGTTTGTCTGTCTGTCTTTGTTGACTGACAATCTGTCCAAGTCCAATAAAAAAGCTGATGAGAAGTGGGGATCATATTTTTCATCTGTTGCTATTCCTTTTTTTTGTTAATACACAGTTTTCTCTTTATTTTCCTTTCCTTTCCCTCACAAAATTCATGTTGTCTGTTTTACAATACCTAAAGTACCAATTCTTATCCAGCTCATCATAGTCCCCTTAAGTGAGAGGACAAGTGAACTTTTATTTAAGTTTTCTATTTTCCTGGTTTTAACACACTCCAGCTTATCATAAACAGTTCATTTTAACCAAATAGTCTCTCAGCACTGTGATACCTGAAACCTGCATGCTAGCTGCAGCCCAGAGCAGCTATCAATAATTGATTGTGTACCAACGCTAACTTGCCATGGTGTGACTTTATCTGCCAAGAAGCCAAGGTCTAGACAGACATGCTGAAATGCAGAAGCTAGATAAAGCCATAGAAAATAACAAAACTATTTTGTCTCACCCGCATCATGTGGAGATGGAGGAGATATTGTTGTTGTGTGTCTGTGTGCATTTGAGTTTGTAACTCAAAGCTTTGATAAAGCAGCCCCCTGTGCACTCCCCTTAAATGTTTAAATATAGCTCATTTAAAAAAGCGAAACTGTTAAAAGACAAAAATTGTGCAGACTGCTGTACGTCCCCTAAAAACCTACAGAACAGTGAGGTTATTTTGGCTGCATGGCTCCCCCTGGTGGATGAATGAGAGAGCCATCCATCCATCCATTATCCATCCGTACATCCATTATCATTACCGCTTATTCCCTAATGGAGACGCGGGGGGACTGGAGCCTATCCCAGTAGTCAATGGGCGAGATGGCATGCTTTAAAGTCAATGCTTTTTTTTCCTTTTTGTTCGTTTCATATCTCCAAAGCAAAATATGAAATTGGTAGAGACCCCAGTGCCATGTTTAGACTCCATGTCATGCCTTTTGGGTTAAGATTAACTAGAGTTCAAAGTCCAAGTTAATCTAGCCTCCGATGGCATACAAAACCACATGTTCTTTGACGAGGTTCAGTGCAATCGCAATAAGAATTCTGTTTCCTGTTTACACAATACATAATGAATAATCACTTTTTACATTCCAGGTGAATGGTGTGAACATTGAGGGTATGCGGCATGCAGAGGTAGTCGCCTTTATAAAGAGAGGAGGAGATGAGACCTGGCTGTTGGTGGTGGATCCAGACACAGATGAACACTTCAAGAGGCGAGGAGTGGTCCCCACAATTAACCATGTCAAAGGTGGGATGGCCCCTGTCAGAATAACTGGAACCACTTCAATATAAAAGTTCATTCTTTTCTGGAATGTTGTCTGTCAGTATTTACCTACTTGATCCATTTATCAAGTAGTGTTTTTTTTCACAGATTACGATGGGCCCTCCATATCCAATGGTTCCCCGGCCCCTCAGCTAAATGGCAGCTCTACCTCTCAGTCTATGAGGTCCACGCGCTCTGATAACAGCAGCCAGGGCAACAGCACGCAGGTGGGGGGTGGCATTCATGAATGTTGTTCTGCTTCGCCCCTCACATGAAAGCGTATACCAACAACCCTTTTATCTTCCTCCCTTTTCATTTCCGATGACGTCTCCCTTTTAGCTGGCCGATGACGACGGCGGCCGGTTCTTGGACCCTTTTGCGGAGATGGGCCTGAGGTTGAGCGCTACAGCAGCAGAGGAAAAGATGAAGGTCCATGCCAAGGAAAAGAGGAAGGCACCCCAGATGGACTGGATGAAGAAATATGAGCTGTTCAGTAATTTCTAAGTAACTCCCCACCAACAACACTTCAAAGACCAAAGGACAGAGCTTTGTGTAGAGGATGTGTTTCACAGATGGAGAAGAAAGATGACACATTCAACAATCATTATTACCTGGAATTAAATGTGACATGAGGATAAACATGGACTTGAATTTTGAACCAACATCAGAGACCTATCCATCTATATTATGAAGTGATGCATAACTGCAAAAAACAGTTATTTTCTGAAAAGAAAAAAAAAAGGATCACAGTGGTCAAAATGGGGACCATCCTAAGAACCCTCTCACACATGTGGACTGCTGTCAGATGAGAGAATTTCAGACATGACCCTACCACTCATTCTCCAAAATGAAAAACTTGTTTCAACCCTATTTTTATATTCAAAAAGCATAAATGACTCTAAATACAGAGCATACCATCATCACAGACCATCTTTTGAGGAACTGAACGGACACTGTGACATCAAAGATTGTGGTTATGGTGGCAGGTTTTCCCATCGCTCAGAGGGTGCCCAAAATATCACTGTGAACTAGTTGGGACTCGATTTCCATCTCATGCACTCCTTGTTTGACAAAGAAGATTGTTGGTGTTTATCATGTGTCCTACATGTGTTTCTACTTTATGTTGAGTTGAGTAAGTCATTGTCAATGTGAGCTTGTATGCAGAAGCTAAACTGCTTCCGATCCCCCCTGCTTTGCTCCAAAAGAAGCCTCCTTACTTCTTTGACACTGACTTTAACGAAGGGCTCCATTGCACACATGCATAACAAAGGGAGGCACCACTAAAGTTAAACATACTTTTAAAGGGACAGTGCAAGAGGAACCATAGTTAGATTCTTTTAAGGAAGATGAGGGATAAGTCTGTAGGCTCTATGTGTACACCAGAGGGCACACCTGCTCCATAAACAGCCTAGCAATCTTTGAACCAAATGGAAGAATTATTCAAGTTTCAGACACCATCATTACTACATAGTCCCTGAAAGAAAAGTAAATTGACTTGAGGTTTGAAAAAGAAACCCTGAGATACAATGAAGGTTCAGTATAATCTTAGTGGCAGATGAAAAAAGAAAAAATGTGGCAGTGATATAGTAATGTGAAGGACACTGTGTGGTTGCTGTTTACATTTTGTTTGAAAGTAAGCTAGAAAGTGAAGAAATGTCATGATTGAAAAGGAGAATGTGGATGAAAAATTTAACTGCTGGCCAAACCAAGTACCCTGTTATCAATAAGTCAGTATTAGATGTAGTTTTTCTTCTATATAAGTTTTGTGAAGAGCTAGAATTGTAAAGACTGCAACTCCCTCTTCATCTCTGGAAAACTGGAAAGAATTTAAGGACAATTTCTCAGACTATTTTAATTATGGAAGTATATAATCTTTCATGACGGAATGTAAAACAAAGAAGGGATCAAATAAGTTGTATTATTGGATGAAGCTGTTTTAGAGGAAGGGTATTAGTCCAGAAAAGTAGCTTTTACTATTATGTTGTATCATTCTTTTCAATAAACAGAAGCTGAATTCTGCTAAATGCTCAACGGGTGTTGGATCAGCTATAATGTGAGCAGTTTGACTGGTTTTGGGGGTGGAGGGAGTGTCAGAGACGCCCGTAGTGAAGATTCTCCACAATGTTCTGGAGGATTTTGTGAAAAAGACTGCGGGAGCCACGGAGATTACTGCGGATTATTCTGCATGCAGGAGCAGCTGTCATAAAACATGCTCACACAGGTTTTTGTGTTTAAGAGGCGTGCATGCAGCAATCCAAGCAGTGTTGAAATGTTAATGTAGTACATTACAATAAGTGTATACAATATATATATATACTTATTGTAATGTACTACATACATACATACATACATACATACATACATACATACATACATAC